CAAATTAAAACAACACTGAGATTTCATCTTCACCCAGAAAGAATGGCCATCATCAAGAAATCAAATAATAGTAAATGCTGGAGAGGCTTTCAGAGAAAAAGAAACCTTTTTGCATTGTTGTTGGGAGTTTAAAATAGTACAACCACTATGAAAATCAATATGAAGATTTAAAAAATTTTTTTTATTGTTTTGTGGTACCAGGGGTCGAACTCAGGACCTTGTGCTTGCCAGACAGTCATGGTGCCACTGAGCTATATCCCCGGCCCTCAATATGGAGATTTTTTTTCAAAAATGAAAAATAGCCAGGTGTGGTGGCACATGCCTGTAATCCTAGCACTTGGGAGGATCGCCACGAGAGCAAGGCCAGTCTGGCTTACATACTGAGTTCAAGGCCAGCTTGAATTACATAGTGAGACCTTGTCTCAACAAACAAACAAACACACACACAAAAAAACCCAAACCTAAAACAAACAAATACACAAAAATTTAAAATAGAAATTCCATTTGACCCAGCTTGTCCCCTCCTAGGTATTTTCCCAAAAGAGTTAAGGACATTGCATTATAGTGATACATGCCTACCCATTTTTATAGCAGCATAACTGCAAGCAGCCTGAATGTCCATCAACAGATAAATGGATTTTTAAAAAGAGTCATTTACACACTGTGGAGTACTATGCTGCCATAAAGAAATATAAACTTAAATCATTTCTGACAAAGGGAGGCACCTTGAGACCATAATGTTAAGTGGACTAAATCAGACACACAAGCTTAAATGTCACAAAGTTCCTCTTATATGAAAAACCTAAATTATAAATAAAAAGCAAAATAAGAGATAATGTGAAGTAGAGAGATCTTTTTCAAATGGGAAGGGATCAAGAAATGGCTGGCAGGGGAGGATGGGGAAAGAAGGAGAATGAGAAAATGAATTAAGATGTGTTAAGTACATGCACCAACTCCACACAAGGAAGGTAAACATTTTGTACTGCAAACATGGACTAATAAAAAATTAAAAAGAAACATCACTGGACGCTACAGATCAGATACATATCAACACAATTATAGTGGGAGACTCAGTACCCCACTGTCACAAACAGATCAACTAGACAAAAAAAATCAGCAAATAAATATCAGTTGAACCACACAATCATATAAAGGGACTAAATAAATATCTACAGAGTGTTCCACCCAACGAAAGCAGGATATATAGTCTTCTAGCAGCACATGGAACTTTCTCTAAAATCAACTGCATAGCCCATAAAACATGCTTAAATAAATACAAATGATCCAAAATTATCCCAGATGATAGTGCAAGGAAACTAGAAATCAGCATAAAAGAAACCATAGAAATTATGCAAACACATGGAGATTAAACAATACACTCTTGAATAATCAGTGAGTCACAGAAGAAATTAAGGTATAAATCAGACATTTCCTACAACCAAGTGATGATGGCAGTACAATGTACTGGTACACAATGGAAGCAGTCCCAAGAGGGAAGTTGATAGCTATGAATGGCCACATCACAAAAATGAAGCGTGCCCAAATAAATAACCTAATGATGCATCTCAGGTACCTAGACAAACAAGAACAATCCAAACCCAAAGCTGGTGCAAGGAAATAAATTTTAAAGATCTGAGCAGAAATTAATGAAAGTGGAACTAAAACTAAAGCAAAAGGAATCACTGAATAGAAAGGCTGGTTTTTAGAAAGAATTAACAAAATGGACAAACCTTATCCAATCTCATTAAAAAAGAAAAGACCCGAATCAATTCAATCAGAAATGAAAAAGATGAAATCACAGCAGACACTGCCAAAATCCAGACAATCATCAGTAACTATTTTCGAAAAATTGCATCCCAATAAATTGGAGAATCCAGAAAAAAATGAATAGATTTTTAGATACCTACAAATTTCCAAAGATATAAAAAAGATTATAAAAACCCTAATTAATCCAATAACAGGCAATGAAATTGAGGTGGAAAAACAACAATAACAATAACAACAAAAACTAAATAAACTACCAGCTAAGAAAAGCCCAGGACCTGATATATTTACCTGATATATTCTATAAGAACTTCAGGGAAGATGCCAATTGAAATGCCAACACTATATTTCACAGAACTAGAAAAAAAGAATCCAAAAATTCATTTGAAATCATAAGAGACCTAGAATAGCAAAAGCCATTCTAGGCTGCAGACACATGGCAGTAGGTATAACAATTCCCAATTTGAAACTATACTACAAAGCCACTGTGATAAAAACAGCATGGTACTGGCAAAGAAACAGACCTGAGGATCAGTGGAACAGACTGGAAGACACAAAAACAACTCCACATGTACTCAGCCAACTCATCTTTGACAAAGGAGCTGACCATCCCCACTGGAGGAAGGATGGCCTCTTTAATAAATGGTGTTGGAAAAATTGGATCTCAACCTGCCAAAGATTAAAACTAGACCCTTATCCTTCATCATGCACTAAATTAAAATCCAAGTGGATTAAAGATCTAAATATTAAAATAGAAACACTAAACTTGCTGGGAGATAAGTTAGGCAGAACTCTTGAAGACAATGGCATAGGAAAAGACTTCATGAACAAATCCTAGTAGCACAGGAACTAGCAGAAAGAATCAACTGGGACTCATCTTATCAAAAAGCTTCTGCACTGCAAAAGAAATCATCAACAGAACTAAGAGACAACCTACAATGTGGGGAAAAAATTTTATCAGCTGCTCCTCAAAGGACTATTATCTAGAATCTATAAAGAACTCAAAACAATCAGTCCTCCCAAATATAGACACGATTCAAAAATGGGCATCTGAAATGAACAGATATTTCTCAGACAAAGAAGTAAAAGCAGCAAATAAATATATGAAAAAATGTTCCATATCACTGGCCATTCGAGAGATGCAGATGAAAACAACACTGAGATTCCACCTCACCCCACAAAGAATGGCTACCATCAAGAAATTAACCAATGACAAATGTCTGTGGGGTTGTGAGGAGAAAGGAACCCTTCTCCATTGTTGGTGGGAGTGCAATCTGCTGCAACCACTATGGAAATCAATATGGAGATACCTCAAAGAGCTGGGACTAGAGGTTCCATTTGACCTAGCCATCCCTCTTCTGGGTATCTTTCCAAAAGAATTAAAAGAATCAAACCAGAGTGATACATGCACATCCATGTTTATAGTGGCACAGTTTGTAATAGCTAAAACTTGGAAACAGCCCTTTTGCCCATCAGTTGGAGATTGGATAAAGATGTGGTTTTTCTATAAAATGGAATACTACTACTCAGCCACAAAGAATGAGAAATTAGATTCATTTATAGGAAAATGGGTACATATTAAGGATATACTCCTAAGTGAAATAAATAAGTCACACATGTGTTAATGCTGAATAGTTTCTCTGGTGTGAATAAACTATAATAGCACATAAGATCCTAATGAGATAACTGACATTGTGAAATGGGAAGAAAAGGGTTAAAGGTGTAGGGAAAGTGGGAAGGGTAGGGGAAAGGTAATAAGGGAAAAGAAAAAAATATGAAAAAATGGAAATAAAGTGTTTGTTAGTGGGGAGAGGAGGAGGGGGTAAAGGGAGGGGAGGGACAAGGGGAAAAAATGAGAACCAAGACCGGTCATGTAGAGGTACAAGATTCCAATAATGAATGTAACTGTACTGTATACCTAAAATGTACCAATAAACTCAATAAAAGAAAAAAAAATCACTCATCTCAACCAAGCAGGCTTCATCTCAGGGATACAGACTCTCCATGAAAAGCACGATTATTATGTTCTATGATCACATACTAAGAAACGTTAAACTTTAAAAAATATCATGTTGTAATAGTGTTTGTCTTGATAACTGATAGTTTTGGTGCACCTTCAATTTTGTACCTGAGCCCCAGGTCCCCCATTCCACAGCTGGCCTGGCCATAACCAGCACCTCTCCCAGAAATGGGAAGGGTGTGGGCAGCCCTGGAGCCCGAGTGTGAGCACGCAAGAGGTGGTTCACCCTACAAGCTGCTGTGAAGCAGGGCTCAGGACAGCTCTGCAGGGACTTTTCTGAAGGGATTCACTATACACCCAGGAGCATGCGTGCACATAGGCACACACACAGCATGGCTTCTCTCTGGGTCTGGGGAAAGCACTAGATATCCAGCCCACACATTCGCCTCACCATCTCTAGCCAGCCCTCTGCTTGCACCAACAAAGTCACTACTGTCCTTCCCTGGGTGGTCTGAAGCAGCCCCTCTGAGCAGAATCTTTGATCCAAACCATAGCTCCGGTGACAGGTAGATATGGGACTTGGCTGGTCCCCCAGCCTTCCACTGCCTGCGCTGTGTGGGCCCCCCTGGCTAGACTGGTTGTTTTTCTTTCTTCTGCTGTCATTAGCTCTGCAGAAGGACACCGGCGAGTGTTTGTGCTGACCTTGTCATTTCACACAGAGGAGAGGACCCAGGGGAAACATGCCCAAGGACTGAATTGTGCCACGGAGCAGGGGAGGTGGGGGTGTGTTCTCCCTCAGCATTTCACAGCAAATTCCCCATCCTCATCTCTCTTCTGCTCACATCCCATCCCAGGGCTGCTCAGAGGACATGTTCATCTCTCTTTGTTGCTGGAAAAAGTGGCTTCTCTGTCCTCCCCAGAGAAACCCAGCTCTCACAACCCAGGGAAATGCTTCCTGGGTGAAAGAGGAAACCTTCCTCTAGGCATTTTGGACCTGTCAGTGTACATAGATGCTGCCTCAAAATCTGGCCCACTAAAGCCCGAGTCCCCTAAACCCTAGCTGGGGGCTCTGAACCCCTCAGCCTTTCCTCAGTGAAGGCTGCTTCCAGGACCCCCAGGCAGCCTGACACCCAGGTGCAGAACCAGTTTGGGAGGAAGAGGTCTTCTAGCCCCACAAGGTGTCCCAGATCCTGTGTAAACCAGACTCTGAGGAGCCACCGAGAGTCAGGGTCAGGCACATGGATGCTTCTAGAAAGCCCTGAGAAACCAGACCTACCTTTTCTTTCTTGGTGGCCTCCATCCTGGCTCTGTTGTCCAGCATCTGCACAGCAGCCAGCCTGGGGAGCTGGGACCCCGTGCCGTTCCTCACCAGGCTTCCAAAGCAATATCTTGGCTTCTCCCAGCTCAGCCACGGCCAGCCCAGGGCCTCCAGAAGAAGATGGTCCACCTCAGGCGGGTTGAGGGTTTGAGGTTCACAGTTTCCTCCTTTTCATTGTCTCTTCCCGCTCCTTCCCCTCAGCAGCTCCCTCAGGCCAGACATTCTCCAGGCAGGGCCATGGAGGCCTCAGGTGTGTCCTAATGGCTTACGCAGGCTCTGATGAGTAGAAAGGACTTGATGGCCCCTCAACAGACTCAGCAGAAAGGTGTCTCCCCTCCAGTGGCTTGCAGACAGTGTCAGAACAAGTAGGCTGCAGGTGACTATGTCCCACACACCCCAGCTTGCTTTTCCGGCCCTGTATTACTCACTACTTCCTGTTCTAGCCAGGTACGGAGAAGAGGACTCTCCTGACAGGGCCTCTGCTCCTGAGAGGGCCTGTGGTCACCATGGTGACCAGTCTGTCATTAGAGCTGCCATGCAGAAAACTAGGACTGATGGCAAAAGGCCTCCATCCCCATTGCCACACTGACTACTCTGTCACCTTGTCACCCTAGCAACCTCCAACCTAATAAGAGAGTGCCACCTGCTCAGTTCCCAGGCCAGTGTCTCAGAGTCTCCCACAATCACATCTAAGGAACAGAGGTGCCTGGGAATTGGAAGAAAGGAGCAGGGCCTTGGAGGCCAGCACGGCTGTGTGTGCTGGGGCCCTTCGGGAGCTTCTTGCCACCTTCCCTCCCGCCCACCCTGAAGCCTGAACCACAGCAGTCCAGCTGGCTCAACACTTCAGGACAGAGGCCCACAGTGATGTGTGCCCTTCCAGCCCTACCCAGGAAGCCTCAGCCCAGGATACACAGCCTTACCTGGTACCCCCGGAGAGGTCAGCTGGAAGATAGGGCAAGAGGCCAGGGTGCTGGAGCCTCTCCAGGTTCTGGCTCGGGTTTCATTCCATAGTCTGGATCCAAATGTGGGATTTCTGGAGAGGGACTCAGATCTGGTGTGTATTTCACACTCGCAGCACTTCTTAATCAAGGCTGGCCGTTTTTCTAGCACTCCACGTGGCTGGTGGCTACAGATGGGATGGTGCAGGATTAGGAGCAAGAGGACCCGGGACCTGAGGACCTGAGCCTCAGCTGTCCCGAGGTCCAGTTGGGGGCCAGGGGGAGTGGCAGTGAGATCTCTCCAGATGGACGCTGGCCCTCTAAAATCAACCTCTTACTGACCAGCATGGAGGCAGAGAGTTTTTCACTGTTACCAATAGTGCCAGAAATCTTAGTATTTCACCTGATTCACTATGTGAGAATGTTTCTTCCAGATGGTTGCCGAAGCAGAACTGCTAGCTCAGAGGCTGTGTGTTTAGCATTTGGGAAAGCAGCACTACATTGCCTCTTCAAATGGCTTCACCAATTTGTTAGAACTTCTGCCCATATTAGGAATATGGCTACACTCGGCCAGTCTTTGAGATGACAAATCTCTATTTTGCTCCAATGAACCCCTTGCTGTTTGAATTGCAAAGTGCTGGGTACTCTTTTCATCTTTTCAGATGTTTATTGGTTATTGTTTTTTTTTAAAGAGAGATGTGTTTGTATTATACTTATGTTGCTATTGAACCATTTTCTACCTACTGATTTGTGGAAACCATTTTCATATTTGTCTATAATATCTATTAATCTTTGTTTGTTAAATATGCTGTATCTCTCCAGTCTACTGCTAAACTCACAAAACTTGATTAATACTGTTTTTCATACAAAAGTATCCATTTTTTTGGATTTCAACCTAGTTTTCTCCTTTGAAGGCTTCAGGTCTTGTTAAGAAAATCATTTTCACTCCCAAATTGTGAAAATGTCCTTCTAACGTCTCTCCAAAAATTTTTAAAAATATGTTCAATAGCTGGGCAAGGTGGCATATGCCTGTGATCCTAGTGCCCTGGGAGGCTGGGGCAGGAAGATCAGAAGTTTGCAGCTGAGGCAACTGAGACCCTGTCTCAAAATTTTAAAAAATTTAAAAAATGGGCTGGGGAATGGATGTAGCTCAGGGTGAAGGCCCTAGGTTCAATCCCTAGTACTGAAAAAAAAGAAAGAAAAAAAAAAAACAGTTAAGTGTTTCTGAGATCTTTGGTATCTGGCGTATCCAACCATTCTGAGAACATGGCTCATGGTCTTACCTTTCTTCCAAATGCTTCATCTGCTCTCACAAACCCTAGAGCAAGGTTCTGTGGACCCTGTGAGCTAGAAGACCACTAGATGGTCAGCACTGATTGGCTGAGGCCCAGGCCAAGTGCTCTGTGATTGGCTCAGGCCTAGGCACCTTGTGGCAGCAGAGCAGCATGGTTGAGCCTGGACCATCTGTCTCCACAGCTGTCAAGTGGCTTCTTCCTGAGGACTTGTCCTCTGTGGTTGCTGCCACTGTTGTGTTTGGTGTGTCCCACCTCTCTGAGCGCACATGTCTTTTTCTCACTGTGATCATTAATTATTGTATGTCTCTTGACTTGAGTAAGAATTGTCTAGGGTATTAGCAAGCTCTGAGTGTGTCTGTGGAAGATGACACGTAAAACACAAACTGAGAAGGGGAGACAGACCTCAGACATGGGTGGCACCAAGCAAGCGGCTTGTATCCCAGATGGCACAAAAAGGGAAAGAAAGAGGTCTGCCTTCCTTCTCTGGAGGAGTCCCAATTTCCGCCATTGCCTTTGGACATTTGTCTTCAGTTCCTTCAGGCTTTCAGTGCAGATTCTTAGGCCTCCAACAGTCCCTTCAGCTTTCAACATAGACTCAACCAGGCTTGAGGCCTTTGAGCTTCAACAGGCTGCTCCTGCTCTCCAGTGCACAGATGGCCATCTTGCACCTCCCCCCTATCTGACGGAGGGAAATTGGGACGCTTCCACTTCCCATCCTGTAAGCCCACCTAGAAAATCCTCTGTATAATCATACATGTATTTTATATTACATCTATTCCTCTAGTGAACCATAACGAATACACTCACCTTTCTTTGCATCCTCCTTCCAGTTCTCAGGTGGGGTCTGGCCCCACCAAAGCTGTGGAAGGTGTATGCAGGTTTGGAGCGGGATGTCCCTGCAGGTCCTCCTGCCCACCTTTCTTTGTCTTTCCTGCACTCTCTCCCCTGTTCTGTGTAGGCAACCCCACAGCCATCAGGCACCATCAGCCTGTGGCCTGAGGAGAGTCTCTAGGACAAATGCAGCTTGTGGGGCAACCCTGTGGGGAAGGCAGTCTCAAAAGGGGGCACTTGTCTTCCTAATTCCAAGAACTCCTACCTGGCTCCATGCCTTCTGTCTTCCTCAGCTGCTATTACTTCCTGTCCAGATGCACTTGTGTTCCTGACTGTCTTTTGTTTTCTTAGGCAGGTAGTTAGACACTAGTGAACCTGTTTTAAAATAGTATGTGTTGCCAGTTAAGTAAAGAAACAGAGGGGCCAGGGTTTTAGGTTAGTGGTTCTGCCACCTGCCTTGAAAGCGCAAGGTCCAGAGTTCAATCCCAGGTAAGAAACAGAGACTTCAACGTACAATACATATAAATCATTAGGGAGGTCTCACACTTAAAGCAATCCCACAAAGCATGATGATGTTTTAAGGTTACATATTATGCTCAGCCCTCCTGACTGTCTAGTTTCCAAACAAGATGTACGGCATTCCTGGCTGCTACAGCCAACAGCCCAATGGTATTGGGAAAGGAAATATTCCTCCTGCTTTGGGTTGGGACCTGTTTTAAATTAGGAATTTATCATTTGCAAGTTTTTTGTTTTAATGATTAAAGCCCCTGAGAAAAGACTGACCATCTAAAAAGGATGGGATGATATTATGCAATTCCAAAGTAACTTCTAAGAAATATGTCGATAAACATCATCATCACCATAGCTCTCAGAACCCTAGGAATTATCTTTGTATGCATAAGACATCCAAATGCGCACTTAGTGCAGATATCCTATGGCACTGCCCACCTTCTGTCTTGAAGGCATAACTCTATCTTCTTTACATTAAGTTCGACCTAGATTTTTTGCATGGCCATCTATGTGTCTCGACTGAATTCTTTCATCAAGGACATAAAAAAACCAAGGACCGAGGAGTAAGGGGACAGTTCCCACTGCATCAGGACCCAGTTTTCTAGTAACATTCTAACATTGCTGGTGGCAGAGCTCAGACCTTTGGTAGCAGGCCATGTCTGTCTTTCCCGTGGCCTGGAGAACCCAGCAGGAGCTGGGACACCTCAGTGATGGGCCATGGTAGTGAGCAGTGTTCCTGGGGCTTGGTCTGCTAAAAATTCTGCCTGAAGGTATCCCATCTGTACACTTGGTCTATGGGTGTAGCTGAGCGGTAGAGCACTTGCCTGGCACAGCCAAAAAAAAATGTGCATTTAATTCTCGATGACTGGTCAGGTCATGGAAGCCTGACCACGGGTGGCCCCTTTCAACATCCCTTTTCCATATGCGTGAAACAGCCTAGCTACATGGCCTCGGCTAACTGGATGAGGGGTGTAGAAGCAGGGGCCATGGTGTAACTGGGCTGTCATCTGCACTGATCTTTCTTGGGGTACACCGCTGAACTGGCTTGTTTCCTGGCCAGTGGGGCTTCGGCTGTACAGCTGGGGCAGCCACCAGCTACAATGGCAAGTGTATGCTGCTCTGCCCACGGGGGAAACTCACAGGGTCTGGGCCTTTGGTCACGAACAGTGTTGTTCCTGTTCTGCCTGCTAAGTGGCTTTTCTTCCAGGGTCCAGCACCAACAGTGGAACCCAAGCACCACAGCTGTGCTCCCCCAGGGCTGTGCATGCTGCATTCCTCACCTTCACCTTTGCGTCTTGCCCCTGAAGTATGTCCTATCCTTGTAACTTCGGACTTTGTAACTTTTGGACGATCAAAGAACAGAACAAGCAATTCCTGGATGCTCTTCACATGTATTCCTTAAATTTATATTATTGTATTTGCTTTATCTTTCACACAACACACACACACACACACACACACGCACACACACAAATGCTTTAAGAGTAAGCTGAAGATATGATGTTCCTTTTACCCCTATCTGTATTTCCTAAACCAAAAAAATTCTCTTCCCCAAGCACAGCACACTGTTACGGTCTTTATCTAGATGACCCCCTCCCCGTCCATGGGGCTTGTGGTAGGTGACTGGATTATGGGGTGCTGCAGCTGGCTTGGTGTTGGGAGGCTGGGTCTCATCAGAAAAAGTGGGTCACTTATGGTGTGACCTAGAAGGTTTATCTCCCTCCCCGGTTCCTCCTCTCTGTTTCTGGGTCAACATGCTGCTAGTTCTTTTCTGCAAGACCCTCCTGCCATGCCGTCCTGCCTTGGGGCCATCAACTATGGACTGAAACATGGACCAAAATAAACCTCTCCTTCCTTAAATTGCAAGTGCCAGGTATTTTGTCCCAGGGAGAGAAGTGACTAAGAGAATGATCAAAGTCAAGAAGTTTAAATAGATACAAAGCCACGTATGGCGGTACATGGCTATAGTCCCAGCCACTTGGGAGTCTGAGGTGGGAGCATCAGTTTAGCTCAGGAGTTTGGGACCAGACTGGTCAACACAGTAAGAACCTTTCTCCAAACATAAAAACAAGCAACAGTTGTGTGATCCATAGGTCTTATTCAGACCTCAACCTACCTTCAAATCTCCTCGCAGAGTCTGTAAACACCTTCAACCTACTATGATTGTTCTTCATTTCTGTCATCAATGATAATAATACAAATGATTGTTATTTGTTAGACTATGACTAGAACTTGGAATATTTTATCATTTCCAGCGACATGCTGAAAATGGTATTTTTCCAGTTTAGCAACCTGAAAAAAAGGGGGGGGGGGCTCAGAGAGGGAGGTTTAACAAGCCCAGAGAAAGTTGCCAGGAATGGAAGTTGGCTGCAAGAGAATTTGTTAAGCATTTCAGTATTCACATTTGAACCCCAGGTCTGCCTCATACTAACAATTTTCTTTACCTGAATCCATTTCTACATCTGTGAGGTGGTAGTAATGACTTTCTGTTTTTGTGAGGATTAAAGGAGATAGCACAGGGAAGAATCTGGGGTAAGGGAAACACAGCAGTTACTATTAAGGGTCAAGTGGATACAATGAATCTATTTCATCCACTCAGCCCTCCTGGTCCTTTAGTTCAATTTTGGGTGCTGAATGTCCAGGGGCTTTAGGGATTTTCCTCAGAAATGATGGCTTTCACCTGCCCGCTGTAGGGCAATTGTGTCAGTGTGAGATGGGGCTGGATTGATAGCAACCAGCCACCTAACTTGTCAGCCTAGTGCAGTGGCGATGAATCGGTGGCACAAGTGTCATAGAAAGCTCTAAAAGGTTAGCCATCACTGGCCTAGTGTGTCCACGTCTGGGGTGGCTGTGCCTGTCCCTGATGTTTACCATCAAAGTGGGGAAGATGTGGAAAAGCCCTTCCTATTTGGGAATACCAGGGAAGAGCCAGGCAGGGGGTGCAGTGGGCAGCAGTCATGAACTTCCTTAGCTACAGAAATATTCAGAGTAAGGGCTTCCTAAACTACAGTGCCACCGCACATCTCTGGACACATTTTTGGTTGCCACAGTGGGGGTGGGGGGTACTGATTATTGATGGGCACAAGGTCTGAGATGTTGCTTGCAAAGCACAGGGTAGCACACCACCCTCCCTCAACAATTATCTAACCCACAGTGTCAATAGAGCTGGAGGTCCAGAAGCTCTGATTTAATGTTTTGAGTGAATTTGTTGGTTTTCCAACGTATCACCTTTTCGCCATCATTTTACATCTGGATGCTTTCAGCATGATTGTGTGACCACAGCGCCAACTTCCAAAGACTTAAGAGTATTTTTGATTGTTTAAATAGGATCTTGCCATGCTGCCAGCCAGGCTGGCCCCGAACTCCGCTCGAGATCCTTCTGCCTCAATCTCTTGGGTAGCTAGGACTACACCGCCATTCCTGGCGCCAAGGTTCATATGGTTATATGCTAACACAATACACAGGAAACTGGCAAGGGGTGGCACTTCTGGGGTATTGCGTCTCACTCATCTCCACCCATGGTCTTATTTCAACAGTTGAAGCCAAATTAAGTCGCTGTGCACCAAACTGCTCCCTAGCACCGTGAAGCTGAATTTCTGCTCCCTTCTGAGATGAACAGACTCTGCGACTGCGAGATCAGCGGTGCGGTGAGGGTGCAGTCTCCCGACCTGGCAGCGCAGCGCTCCCCGCCCAGGAAAAGGCTATAGAGCAGAAGGTTCCGCCCACATTCAGATCTGCCTTCCGAACTGCCCCGGATTCAGGGCCACGGAAAGTGAGACCGTATGCGCTTCTCTGGGTCTCGCGAGCTAGGAGGCTGCGATCACTCTCACGGACCGGCAGGGAGGAGAAGCGACGGGGACTGCCCAGCGCGTCCAGCCCAGAAGAAGGGCTCCCTGAGCCGCCCTACAGGGAGCAGAAGCACAGGGCCCGTGGGCCCTCCCGCGGCGGGGCGGCCGG